TCTACATGGAAAACGCATTGTCTTCATTATTTGCAACTGTTGAATGAAGGCAGTTGCCATGGTGATGGCCATTGGAGGCAGAAGTCTGGCTGGTCTGAGGCCAGACGAGGGGGTGGTGGGGGGGGTCTACGCGGGGACAAAATGGCTCCTAATGACCAGCTCGTACCGACGGCTCGGTCGGGAGGTGATGTCACACTTGTACCTTCTCGTTTGCCAGCAATAACTGTCCATCGCCGTGCCGCAAAACCACCCGGAAACTCTTCTTCCTGTCGCCATTTTCCAACCATTTCATTGTCATGGCAGGTGATACCAAAGCGTATCAACACAAAACATAAGAATAAATACGTTGAATTGAGGGCAGGAGTTTCATTTAGTCCAGCCGTAGCCTCGTTTAATGGAGAAAAGTATTTTTCCCACCATCTTGTGGCATCTAAAGGCAACTACAAACCTTTTTTGGGTAGCACATTTGTCGCAATTCTTCATACGTTTCTTCATCTCCATCGGCTCCATCTGTTTTATGATTGTTCAGGTTTTGGATGTACAGAAAACCTGATCAATATTCACCATTTATTATTTTTCTTTCTTCTCCCCTCCTGTGTGCCACTCTGATCCCAAACAGGATAAGCGCTGTTACAAATGAAAAGGTTTCCACTTGCCTATAGACGCCACAAGATGGCAGCAAATCATTGTTTTTTTTTTTTCTTTTCAGAAAGGCAGCGGCCCTCACTTCAACATAGTTCTTGGCCCTGGGAAGCCACAAAATGCTGCTTAAGCTCAGTTTTCATATTTGACATGGCTTTGGTGGATGGAGAAGGAGTTTACCCGGCCCAAAAATTTGAGAATGCAGGGTGGGCTGTATTTTGTGAAAGTTGGCTATTGGCGGTGATTAGGGACCACGACCCAAAAATTGAAGCAAAATGTCTTGTAAATTTCACGCAAGTCGAGATCAGCGTTGATCAAACAGGATGCTGAAAGCTCTGCTCGCACTGTTAATTTTTTTTTTTTTTTGCTGTACACAAAAACTGTGGCTGTCCTTGAGCAGCTGCGAGCGACGGAGGATGCTCACTTTTGTTTTGCTTTTGCGGCACGTCTCGCATGTGCGCATTTTTGCCGCATAAAAGCCGGATGAGCAGAATGTTAATTAAAAACGACGACTCAAGGCAAGTCAAAGGCATGAAAGCGGCTTTGTTGTAATTACATGATACAAACGTGTTTGCGCACGTGCTGGTAGCAGTCGGCAGCCGGGATCCTCGCAGCCGCTAATGAGATTAGCCACACAATGGCCGGCCGGGCTCATGGGCCATCACCGCATCCAGCACCTTTTCAAACATTTCATGGTGCCACACTGGCAATGGTGCTCTTCCAAGCAACAGGATGTCAGTTTTAATTTATTTATTTAACCCCCCCACACCCCTCAGAAAAAAAAAAACAGAACCATATGCTGATTGTTGATTATATTATTTATGAATTAGTATGGTCGAATTGATTTTTTTTTTGTCACAACTGTTGCTCTACAAAATATGCATGTGAGGTAGCAAGTATCGCGTGTGTCCGCTCGGGGTTGCCGTCCTCACGTACTGTCGTATCCGTGACTTTGTTTGTTTGGGGTCTGGCCTGGTGAGTGACGTGGGAGTCGGTGAATGAGCGTGGAGGTGGTTTCTTGTTGGCTCAGATTAGCCAGTCTGCGGGTTCTGCACTTGTGCTACTGCCTGCCTTGGCCACCTGGGGGCACTATACGATGGAGAAACGCCCGTGAGGATCAGCCGGTTGGATGATGGATGGATGGATGGATGGATCTTCATCACATGGTACAGTTTTATTTTCAGCTATTTGCACCCTTTTTAGTCGTTGTTCTAGCTTTTGGCTCTTTGTTTTGCCCTGCCGCCTACTGCCAGGTTGGCATTGTAAAAGGGGAACTCTTCTCGATTGGCTTCCCTGGTCAAATAAACAAACAAACGTGAAAAACAGAAACCGTGAAAACTGAACTGCGATTTAATGAAGACTTCTCAGCTCATCTTATCGCAGAGTGTGACTGTGAGTACAGCTGTATGTGTTTCCCATTATGCATTAGTAACGGGAAGATTTACGCCACTTAACCTCCAAATAAGACCCCTCTGCCCCCCCCTTCCTACCCATAATTTTATTTTGGGGAGTGAGCTACTCAGTTGCACATTGGGCTAATGTGTTGTCGTTGACCAATTAGGAGATGGACATCAAACAAGTGCAGGCCCCCTCGCCGCCCCGCCTCTTGTTTTGATATTAGCAAGAGCGACACGCCCCCCCCCCCCTTTTCCCAATTGCTGCTAGGATGAGGCCATTCAGCAAATTTTTCAAATGAGCTTCGGATATCACACGTTGTACTTGGTAAGAATTGCATGGCAAGGAATGTTGTGAGAATCGAATTGAAATCAGGCTGCATATTGCTCGCGTGATTGGACTCTTTTGGTATTTTATGTCATTGCACCACCATGAGGAGTATTCATGAGTTGGAATATTGTTTTGTTCCCAATCTTGTTAATCAATCTTACTGATTCCAACTCATCAACGTCCAAAAGTTGGGCAGGTTCAGGTCGAGTTTGCTCCCACTTATATGGTGGCTCATCTGTTCCAGACACCAAAACGCAGCCCCTCCCCTTCCCCTCCCTCACCCCCTTCCAGCAGGGGATTTGACCCTCACCCCCTTCAGCCATTTGCTATTAGTGTGAGGGCTAAAAGCAAATTAACTGGTTGCATCGAGGGGGGACCATCTCCCCCATGTGAAATGGCATGGAGGAGGCGGGGCTACGTTGAAGCGTTACACTTGGTTAGAGTGTTTTCCTTTCGGGGGCAGTCGGCGGGGAGGGTCTCTGGGAGGTGCCCTGCCCTGCTCCCTTTGCTTTTCCTATTACGCTGCAGATGCGCCTCGTGGCAGAACGAGCTCTTGTGTGTTTCTGAACGTGTGGGGCTCCCGCAGGAATTTCAGGAGGCTTTGCCTGTTGGGGGGGGTGGGGTCGGTGAAGTGTATGTGCGCGTGCGCCAGGTCCCCCCTCACTCACATTTTGCCACTGCACACCCAACCACATTAAATAAAAGAAATCCATTCCCAGGCCTGTTAAGGAACAGTGTGGGGAGGTGTGATTGTGCAAATGCGGGGCGAGGAGGGGGGCTGCGCTCATATTATCCTCCGTGCCAGCTCTTGGATGGAGCCTGCTGGGGGATTAGGCCACATTCTGTGAGGCAACAATGGAAGTCATCCACATTTCCATCCTCTTTTTGCTGCTCTCAACAAATGCGGCCTTGTCTCCCGAGCAGGCACCTGGACGAGGAGGAGGACGGATAAAGGGGTGTCCTGTCTAAAGCACCCCCAAATCCGCCCCCGACCCACTGCCACGCTAACTTCTCCTGGCCTTCCTCAAACAACGCCAGAACAATGTTAACCTCATCTAATTGGCATCGGCCGATTAAATCGGTCTTTTGAAAAATCACCATTTTTTTTTTTCCCCTGCCTCTTGTTTTGTTGTCACTTCTTGGCTCTGCTCGCCCCATTACGGGCGGGTGTAGTCGGGATGCCTGATAGGCTATCAAAGCTCATTGAAATGACAGCAAGGAGACGCTTCCCCCTCCTACTACTCCTCCTCCTCTTCGTCTCCTTGTCTTCATTCCATCCTGCCCCTGATCGCATCACGACCTTTAGTCACCACAAACAACAACGAGGCTTTAGCGGGCGATTGGTCGTGTCACCTCGAGCCACGCGCAAGCCGATGCCGGGGCCACCTTGCTCTTGTTCTTTGGTGTCGATGCAACTTCTAGTTGCACGTGTGTGTTGACAGGCTCGTTTGACACAGCATTGCGGAGGTCGGTCACCCCTGGAGTGTTGCTGTTAAGCACATTACGGGTAATGGAGGCTGCTGTTAGGCTAGCATCGTCTTCGCACAGCGCTCTGAGTGGCAATGAGGGCATTTATTTAAGTGGACTGTTTACTTGAGCGGGATGCATCACTTTGATGGGTCGGCAATTTTTTTTTTTTGAGGAGGGAGTAATTGCCTGAGGCGTAGGTGTCATCCTATCCCTTAAAGAAGCTCAATTAGCAACCAAATGAATGCACACGAAACCCGCTCGCCATGGAAGCAAAGTGGCGGAGGCTCCAATAACTCACCTCAGGGTGAGGCGCAAAGAGGCAAGGCAGAGAGTGAAGGGAAAGGGCAGAGGGAGGCGCTCATCAATAAGCACAAGGTCGGGGAAGCGGCGGCAGGCGAGGATTTGTGGAGCTTGTAAAAAAGGCTTCAGGGGACGGCATCACCATCGCCACCTTGTGGGAAGGCCGGGGAAGGCACCTGCTGGCCGCAGAATCGAGCAGGGATTTGCAGGGATTTCAAAACTACACTGACAAACATCACTTAAAAATAGAACATAAATACAAGCACTCATCACATCGAATATTTTAGCTTTGACTGATGAAAAAAAAAAATCATTGAGTGCAACCGTTAGCTTTTAACTGTATATAAAGTCATATCTTCAGGTAAAGCAAACCACTTATATATCCTTTCCGAGTCAACCTAAAATGTTTGTGAAAATACAAAACATCAATTAATAAACATTTTTTAAAATAACTTTCAACAATTTATTGTCGAATGTTTCCTCCCCGTGTCAACTGAGGTCCCCAAGCACCTCCGAGAGGTGGCCTGAAAAGCTCTTTCGCCGCCTAGCGGAGTAGATTAGTGGCCACTCGACCCGTTGAAGCCAGCTGGAGAGCCCTTGAAGCCGGCATTACGGGCCAGGCGGAGAGCGCGGTTCATTTTCTGTCTTGCTGGCTCGCGATAATGGACGACAAGATGGCAGGTGGACTCTTCCGAGGGTTACTCCAGAGGTGTCGGGCCTCGTTACGGGGAGGGGCGTGCGACGGTCGCAAACAGGGATGACATCCCTAGTCGCTTGTCGCCTTCCAAATCAATGTCTGCCGTCGCACGCAGAAGGGCGAGATGCCGCCTGTGCCGACGCCGTGTGTGTTGTCTGTGTTGCAGTTTAATGGGCGGCCGGTAGAGCGGCAGGAGGCCACCGAGGGACAATCGACATGAACTCCATCCCGTCCATGGACAGACACATCCAGCAGACCAATGACCGGCTGCAGTGTATCAAACAGGTGAGACACAAAGTCCTCACGTGGATGGACGGCTTTTAGTCGTGTCAAGGGAATTTTCTATGCTGAATATTGAAACGTGGACCCAGTGCTGGCTGTAAACAAATTCGGTATTGTTGGTTTGAGTTCGAATCCATCGTGGTTGATCAAAGATGATGTCCCAATATATTTGCTTTGTTTTTGTTTTTCTCCCCCGCCCCGCCACCCCACCTGAGCAGCACTTACAAAATCCCTCCAATTTCCAAACGGCGGCGACGGAGCTGTTGGACTGGTGCGGCGACCCGCGAGCCTTCCAGCGGCCTTTTGAGCAAAGCCTGATGGGATGTCTGACGGTAAGTCCACATCTTATATCATCTGCGAGGATGAACGCGCAACGCGCCAGCAAGTGACGCTCTCCCGCCCGGTTTCAGGTGGTGAGCCGCGTGGCGGCGCAGCAGGGCTTCGACTTGGACCTGGGCTACCGACTGCTCGCCGTATGCGCCGCCAACCGGGACAAGTTCACGCCAAAGTCGGCAGGTAAAAACTGCAGTCCTCCCTCCCCCTCTCCCCCCCTTTTTTTTTTTTTGCTGCATCAGGCGTGATGAGGTCCATCATGCTTGCTGCCATGAAGGATGATTTGCGCGGCTCGGAAAAAAGCTTGCTGTGCCATGTGGCTAATGAAGACGTAGAGGCTGTCAGTGGCCGAATTTCCTTTACAGTCGTTTGATTTGCGGTGTTGGTCGGCTCTCAGTCAGAGCTGCGTATTGTTTGAGTTTTGGCTTTTCCTCTTCCTGATTGATGCTCCGCTACGGTTTTAGGTTCGTACGAGGCTACGATCGCTCGAGGCGAGCCCTAAATGAACTTTGGCTGCCAGTTTTATGAAATGCTATCACTTGATGTGAAGTCAAATGTCGTGACGTCATCATGAGTTTCCATCATCGGTCCGTCTGTCAAAGAGGGCTTTCTCTCTTTGGAGCTTGCATGTTTGCCGGAGCACCCAGAGAAAACCCCGAGAGTTTTGTGCGAGTACTGCACCTTCCTCCCGCATTCCAAAAGCATGTTGCTCTCCTCCTCCCGCATTTGGGAGGGCCCTTGTCAAGAAGGTTTGTCTAGGCGCCTCTGTGGCAACCCCCACCCCACCCCCGCAGGGCCCCGGGACCTGTTCCCCTGACACCCAATGAGCCCGTTGCCCAGCAACCCAAGTCACATGACGGGGGCCAGAAACGTAGTAGCAGCCGCTCAACTAACGGCAGCGGGGGTGTCCAAACTTTTTTTTGGTGTTTGTTTCCAGAACACTTGAAAGACGCAGAGGCCCTCTTGTTGATCCAACACGCTAAATCGCAAGCATTTTTGAGCCGAATGAAGCGATTCTACGTTTAGAGGACATGTCGGCTATTCTGCAAGTAGTCCAAGATTCAGGGGTCGCCGGTGGCCCTTTTTTGACTTGCCATCATTGCAGGCCCAACGTGGCTTGGCCATACTTTGCCTTTTTTCTGTTGAAAATCGATCAAGGGACCATGAAAAAAATTCAGGCTGGTTAGATTAATCAGATTGCAGGTCCCGTTTGAAGCTTCCCGTCGCCTTTTTGTTGGCTCATCGAAATCACTCTGCCAACGGTGCAATGTAAAGGGCGGAGAAATCAATGACGGCGCCCTGGTTTATGATGAAAAAGCTCGTTTAGGCCGTCCGTTGCTGCTTGGGTGTGCAGAACTCGCGGAAATAAACGCGGATCTTGGCGAGAACTTGATTTGATCCTCGACAAAGTGAGGGATTTTTCCTGGAGGTGCATGTCGTACTTTAAGCGTAATTGCTTTTTACTGTTGAATAGGGCTGCGCCTGACAAGACCAGAAAAGGCCGCCGTGTCATTTAGTGAGGTGAACGACTGATAGCTTGAATGGATGCATCGGGGCAGGGGGATGGGTGCCAGTAGTGACCTCTTTGTGAGCAAGATTAGCCGGTTGTATTAATCTGTGATTAGGTAGGGGGCATCAAAGTAAAAGGGGGGGGGGTTGTTGATCACAACCCCCATATCATCATCATCATCATCATCATCATCACGGGGCACACGCACCATTGGTGCCAGTTGGGGTCCACCCAGAGAATCAAAAGCTTCATCACCATGTTTGCGGAATGGTCCACTCCCGGTTGTTTGCGCCTCAATAGTCTCTTGGAATTCCTGCCTTCTGAAGACTGAAAGGATAAGAGAGATGAGGGGGAGGTGGAAGTGGGGGGGGGGGACAAATGTGGGCAGCTAAACAAGCTTTTCAGCGAGGTAATTGGTCGGGCTGAGACTCATTTGTCTTTGCTGATTTTTTTTTTTTTTTTTTTTTTTACACATGGAAATAACCCCAGACGGCTGGTAAAATGTGTCAGAAGCTGCATCGTCGGCCCGTTGGTGTCGGTGCACGACCGCGACTGAAATCTGCCGCGCAGCGAGCCATGCGGCTGAACTGGCAGAACTTGACAAACGCCAACAAGTCGGTTGCGTGATTATCAACTCGCTGCAGTGGAAAAACTGCCTCGTCTGATGTTCCTACAGAGAAACAACAGCAGGAGTTGTGAGATTATTTTGTTGAACCACAAAAACATGGCGCAATTGTCAAGGAGAAAGCCGATCGCCCAAACTGCTGGAGCGACATTAAAAAAAATTGTAAATATGTTCCAGACGCATCCATGTCGTAGAGCGATCATCTCAAAACACGTGTGACCCCTTCCACACACTTGAAACACAAAATATAAGAATTAAGTCGGCAAGCTTCATGCTACCATATAATGCAAAAGGCCTGAAATTGATGCCCAAGTGTCCCGAGTCTCACATTGCGAGCCCGAGGACATTTTGACGTCCGTTTCAGTCGGCAGCAGAGGGCAGTGCAGCAGAAAATGGCAGCTCCCCGAGATGGATGAAAACCCAACAAAATAGACATCCCAAGATTTTGTTTAGTCTCGTGCGGGCACATACAACAAATCGAAAATGTCACCGAAGGCGATTTGCCAACTACGCGCGGGACATTTGATGCCTCGGGTGCTTGCTAAATCCACGTTGCTCGTGGTGGTTTTCTTTTGCTTGTGCCATTATTTATCCAAGCCTGATGAGCTCTAATTGGCCCCTCCCTTGGCTACCAGGAAGCCACACATACACTAAGCCTCCTCCTCCTCCTCCTGTATTGCTCTTTAATTAATATTGTGATGGATTAAGTCGCCCGCGAAGAAAAGTCGCTATCTTTTTCCTTTTGTTGTGTTAGCTGCTAAATGTTGCATTTTTTTTAAGGAGGGGGGTCGTGTAACTGGAGCAAGGCCAAGGCACAGACAGTCTAGCACATTAAGCCCCACCCCCTCTCTTTGCAAGTTTGAAATGTGAGCTGCCTGCTTCCCCCCCTACCCCCCCCCCTTGCTTTTCTCCTTCTTCTCCTAAGCTCCCCTGCCTGCCTGCCTGCCTGCCTGCCTGCCTGCTGGCGAGGAGGCTCTGCTGCTGGTGAAGTGAGCGTGTGGTGTGTGTGTGTAAGTGAGCCAGCGAAGAAGGCATGTGTGTATTGGGAGAGCATGCAATGGATCACTAGACAGAAAAAAGGAAGCTGCATCAATATCAAGGTGAGGAGATAAGCTTTCTCTTGACTCTCTCTCTCGCCATCTCCTTCCTCGTCTTGAAGCCTTCAATCATTTGTCGCCTTCTCTATTTTTCGGACTACAAACATGGCTCCTCTCTACTGCTCCTCTTGCTCGTGTGTTATCCCCTCCCGGCTTCTCTCGGGGGTATTTTGTTATTGGGAGCCGGTGGCCAATATAGCAATGGCTCCCTCTGTGATTGGCGTTGCTGTCCTTTTTTTTTTTTCCTCCTTTTTGCAAGCCAGCCATGAATAATTGATGCGCATTGTGCAGGCGGTCAGTGGACACGGCGGGAGGAGGCATGGCCCCGAGACGCTCGGGGAAAGGAGGTGGAAAAGGCGGGGTGGGGGGGGGCAGCGGGGGTTTTGAGAGAGAATGTTACGGAAGGGCTTGAAATGAGCTGCCGGCATCACGGGCTGCAGACGGAAAGGCTGCCCCCGGCGTCGCCTTTTGTTCTGCCGGGCTCGCCACACTTGCAAATGGAAGAGGAAAGCGGCGTTTGTCTCGCCGGCTGGCGGGCTTGATGCGTTCGCCCACTGTTGCCGTCACCACTTAAGTGCAGTAAGCTATGAAAAGCCAAGTTGGCTGTCCACGATGCACCTGGGATTCGGGTGATGGACAATCAGACATCATCAGTATTTGGTCTTTGCCTTAAGTAAGTGCAACATCAGTGCTGTGTCTTATTTTTAGGATAGGTCAACATCCACAGTTCGCAATTTGTCAACTTTAGAGGGAAGTGTAACATCAACGGTTTATTTTCCTCTTAGGAAATGCAAAATGTTTTCTTTTTCGGAAAGCTCAATACTTTGAATTCATCTTGTAAAAGTGCAACATCAAGTCTCTTGTCTTCTTTTCAGGAAAGAGTGTTTTTTTTTGTTTTTTTTTTAAGGAAATTGCTACATCGGTAGTTTGTCTCCCTTTTCGGGAAATGCCGCCTCACTACTCTCGTGTCGTTTGAGTGTTGCCATCGCAAGAGAGGAGGCGGTTGCTGCAGCCGATGTAGTCCAGATGAGCAGTAACAAAGGCAGCAGGTATTGCAAGGTAACAGGGGCGGGAAGCCGGCACCAAAAACCTTCGTTGTTTTGGTTTGTTTTTTTTCTTCACCAAGGCTGTCAGTGGGCGGTCGACAGGAAATCGAGCAAAATGAGTGTCATGGCGTTTCCTTTGCCACCCGCGTGCCCGCAACAGCCGACTGGCGCATTTGTCCCACTCAAAAATGGCCTTGGTGATCTTGTCTGACCTCCTTGAGCACTTGAGGTGCCATTTCCAGCCAGACTCTTGGCACGTTATCGCTTTGGCCCTCCCCCACCCACAGATACCGCCGTCGTCTGGACAGCGGAGGAATTCCCACATTTGGGTTGTTGGGATTTGTGGCTGTGTAGCAGCAACGGGTCTCAATGGGAATTTGAGGTAAAATTCTAAATGGGGAAGGGACAAAGAAAAATTATTTCCTCAACTGCCACACTGCAAACATGCAGGGATCCATCTTATAGTCTGTCTGTCTGTCTGTCTGTATGTATTATACTGCCCCCAAGTGGCCAATGTATGCATACCAGAAGGAGGAGCGCAATGTCGATTGAGCTGAAGCATAAACTATAAAAGCGTTTTCACTTCAGTTAATTGTGTCATCCGTGTATGTTTTCATCGAGTACAATCTTTCCTAGTTTAAAAGATGTCAACATTTTTGTTTGAATGAATGGTGTTCCCATCTGTCTTTCAATGGGGAAAGATGAGGAGACTTTGATTCCGGATCGGGCGCACTCGCACATATGGCCGCTTCTAATGAGCCCGGAGGGGTGCCCGAACCCGACTCCTTCAGTCTCCGACCTCCCCCCGGTCACCCCCACCACACCTCAGCCCGCCCCCGTCCGCCGCGGACGCGTCTCTCGGGTCGTTCAGGGGGCGAGCAGCCCGAGGTAGATGCCGAGCACATCTGCGCCTCGCCTCATTAGTGTCGATTTGTTTTATGCTTGCGTGTTTTTTTTCCCTTGTTTTTAAAGTGTGTTTTGATACGAGTAAATGTGTTTTACAGGTGCAGCGAGGAACCAATTAAATGACAATTAGTTGATCATCGAATTCATGAACGATTGTGATCATAGTTGATTCATTTAAAGGCCTTGTTGAACCAAATACCCCCAATCAGCCCGTCAACATTCTCTGATTTCTCCACGAAAACACACCGATGACCTTTGTGTTGAATCCAAATTGAAAAGATCTTGCCCATCCACAGCTTGCTGAGGAGTTGCAAAGTCAAGAGCCAGCCAGCGCGTCTTCACCTTCTTCTTTTGAGGTTCTGTTTGTGCGAGGCGATGACTGCAGGGCTGTGTTGTGTCCGAGCCAAGAGAGGACAATGCCTCGGGGGGGCTTCTTGACAAGGGAGCAGGTGTCCATTTGATGGCGAGCTAGAGATGGGGTGGAGGGGGGTTGCCATCACCCTCACCTGCTGTCTCCTGCCTTGCATCGCTGCCTCTGATAAGAAGCCGCTCTCAGTTAGAAGTGCGACAATTCATCAGTGAATCGGTTTTAAAATGACTTGATGGCTACTTTTCACCATGACATCATACATTTGCTGACTTGGGTGCGGGCAGCGTGAACTCAGTTGGCCTGAGTGACGGACGGCACTTGGCCCGGATGAGTGACTGCTTTCAAATGAAGCGCACCTGTCAGAAAACGATAACCCCGGGGCGCCTCTTATCTGGTCGATGGCAACGTTGTCGGTAAATAGCGGAGGCGTGTTTGTCGAGGTGCAAGTTGGTCGTGTTTGCCAGAGAGTAAAGGGCCCTAATTGAGCCGTTGCACGCTGGCGGAGGGCCAAAAGCCCTTGAGTGGCGATGAAGACTCTCCTTCCCAGGGTGTACAAACAAACACTCTAGTGCCTTAGTCACACATCTCCTGTTCTCTCCAATGAAACCTTTGATGGAATTTCTGCACTGGACAAACACGAGGTTGTCTTCATTTGGTGAAAAGGAAGCTAGCACAAGTGAGAGAGATCTCAGTTCGTCCCATTTGTCATCAGTCACAATGAATCTCCGACGTCTGTCGCCGCCAATGGCGGTGAATGAATTCATGGCGATCCCTTGGCACCGTCATCTTCTGTCTCCTATTGAAAACTCACCCCAAAGCGAGGCACGGCTCCCTGCCTCCCTCGACGTGATCCGTTGGTCGTTTCCGTGCTTGACATTTTGAGCAACGAAGGCGCTCAAGCAAAACGTGTGATGCGCTTCTTCTGCTTCCTTCCCCGTCCGTCTCTTGGCAGCTCTTCTGTCGTCGTGGTGCGAAGAACTGGGACGCCTCCTCCTGCTGCGCCACCAAAAGAACCGACAGAACGAGCCTCCGGGGAAAGTGCCCATGCAGCCCCCCATGAGCTCCATGAAGCCCGGCCTCTCGCACGGGTCAGTGTTCTCCAACTGAAACGGTTTTGTGATGACAACGCGCACGGTAATTGAAAGGCACATGGGGGGAATCTCCAAACAGTGAAAGAGTGAAACCGCGACAAAAATAATCATACGTATGCCCGACAATTTATGTCTCAAGCTCAGACAGGCTCATTCATAATTTGATCGTTTTGTAGGTCATGGAGAGATTCCCAAGCAGTTTGAAAGATCCCAAACAGTTTTTCTGCTTGACGATCACATTTTGAACACGTCCAAAACGCCTTTGCCACAAGAAAAACTGTTTGAAGCCATTAAAATTGCTGCCGAATGTCTTTGCGACCTGGAACGAACCCTGCCGAAAAAAACAACATTCGTCACGTGCGCTCAGAGAGATAACGGCCTTCATGGCTTTTTTTTTTTTTTTTTAAATTTCCCCACAGAGATGGGTCTTTTCCCTACGACTCGGTTCCCTGGCAACAGAACACCAATCAGCCTCCGGGTTCTCTGTCGGTGGTGACCACCGTCTGGGGCGTCACCAACACCTCGCAGAGCCAGGTGACAATTCAATTCCCGGCCGATTAGCCAGCGAGCAGCCGTGAAGCTCTCCTACCTTGATCCCCTGCAGGTTTTGGGCAATCCCCTGACCAACAGCAACAATCCCATGAACCCGGGCGGCAACCCAATGGCTTCGGGGATGTCCGCCAACAATCCTGGGATGAACCCTTCTCACTTCAGCGGCCCTCAGCAGCAGTTCCCCAGCAAAGGCAACGCCAACCAGGCCTACATGCAGCAGGGCATGTACGGGCGGCCCAATTACCCCCCAGGAGGCGGCTTTGGCGGCAAGTAAGATGGCCGTTGCGCGTGAACAAGTTGCGCTAAACGTCACTGTTGTTGTCGCGGGACCTTGATTGACCAGCTTCATTTTACGGTGTTCCGTCAACATGCCGGTATCGCCTAAAATGAATGAAAAAAAAAACATTCCTCCAAATGTCAGAACATTCGTCAATCAAGGTTGCAGTTTAGGTATTGTGCCGCCTTTTCTTTTCAAGCTACCCCGGAGGCCCCAACGCTGGACCCGGAGGCCTGGGCATGCCTCCGCACTCGCGTCCTCCTTCAGACTTCACCCAACCTGCAGCGGCGGCCGCCGCTGCCGCCGTCGCTG